CAGCAAAAAATCCATAGTTTCCAGTATTTTATAAATGTCATTGTCCCCTCCCTAATCAAACAAATCAATTTAAGTATATTTGCAATCTCTGTTTTCACATTATTCCCCCATTGTGGATATTTTTGTATTTGTCTGTCTTTGTGTATAAAATTTCTACACAGTCATCCATGTGAAGTTTTGAACTTGAGAAAATAAAGTTTGTTACTCTTTAAAAATTGGATTGGTATTGCCTGTTGATATAGTCACTTTTCTTTTTTTAAAAAAATGTGAGAATCATACTGACTTTGCAGTTTCAACTTTACCCTTCAACAAGGAATTCCTTAAGCTTTCTTCAGTTCCAGCCACAAGAATAGTATCATCATTATGTCTGAGATGACTAATTTTTCTCCAAGCTATTTTAATTCCAATTCCTATTTCTTTCAGTTTTCAATTTCTCATGATATGTTTTTGTTTCTTGATGCCTTGGAATTGATGTTGACTCCTGGCAACTGCAAGTCTCTGCAATTTTCTTGGCAAAGTTGTGAAAATGGTTTGCTGCTGCCTTCTTCCTAGGGCTGAGAAAGAATGACTAGTCCAAAATTAGCCAGCTGGCTTGGTGCCCAAGGCAGGACTAGAACTCAGTCTTCCAATTTCTAGCCCGGTGCCTTCACCACCACACCAACTGGCTCTCTTTGCATAGAAGGTAAATAAGGTAACAGTATACAAGGTGATTGGAGCGCCCGTCTCTTTAGATGCTGACTTGTACATCTGACAGTTCTTGTTGCAGGTATTGCTAAACTCTGGATAGCAAACCTTGAACATTATCTTAACCAACCTGAGGGATAAGCGCAATTGTTCAGTAATCTGAACATTCTTTCTGCCCTTTTTTAGTATTAAAATAAGAATTGCTCTTTTCCAGGTCCTTAACCACTGCTTTCCCTACCTGCCCTCAAATTGTAAATAGTGCTGTGACTGTATCATTCTGAAAGGTTTTAAGTTTGGTTGGTTTAAAAGAGCTTCTGTAGCTTTATTGTCAGCTGTAAGTTTAGAGCCCAATTAGCTTTACAGTGACCAAACCTTCTCATTTCCCCCCCAGCAGCTATTTGCCTTCTTTATCTTTAATCACGTCCTTTGCATAAAAGTTTGATTTGTATTCTGTAAGTATCCTAAATAAATTTCTTTTCCTTCCAGTTGTTATTAACTTCAGTTTCTTTATATTACAGGTAGCTCTTGATTTACAAGAGTTTATTTAGTGACCAGTCAAAGTTACAATGGCATTTATGACCTTTTTTTCACACTTACAACCTTTGTAGGAGCCCCATGATCATGTGATCAAAATTCAGATGCTTGGCAACTGGTTCATATTTATGACTGTTGCTGTGTCCCAAGGTCATGTGATTTTTATGTGACTTTCTGACAGACCAAGTCAATGGGGAAGACAGACTCACATAACAACCGTGTTACTAACTTGTCAGCTGCTACAATTCACTTAACAACTGTGGCAAGAAAGGTCATAAAATAGGGCAGAATTCACTTAACCAAATCTCACTTAACAACAGAAATGTTGGGCTCAGCTGTGGTTGAAAGTCAAAAACTGTAGTTATTTAGATGTATTTGCTTGTCTCTTAATCTTCTCCAGAACTCAGCTTTTAATTTAAATTCATGTTTACACTGATGCCTTTTGTTTCCTGCTGTATCAGCAAACACCAATTCACGTTCTGCTGTTGTTTGCATTTTGGGATATTTTTGTTTGCTTCATTTTAATGATGTCATGAACTTCAATTCCAATTTACTCTGCTGGTGTAGTTATTCAACCTAATCCATTAAATCTAATCATCATAGTAACTTCATAATCACATGGAGTACTGCTGAAGTTGTACCTTGTTGATCTGATGATTTTGGGATATTTTAGTGTAAGTTGTAATTTTACAAAACAAGTTTGTGAGCTGAGCTTCAATCGGCATTAGGTCTTAATTTTGCTAATTAAAAAAACCAAACATACAACATGCTTATAACGGGAATTGAGACCAGAATTTCCATCCCTAAGTGTGCGAGAGACATTGGTCTGGAAGAAAATTCCAAAGACCAATCATAACAGCCATTCAGTGCCATTGTAACGTTAAACGTTTGCTAAATGAATGGTTATACGTTGAGGAGTGCCGTATTTGTTTGGAGAGTATATAATTAGTTTGATTTTGATTTTGTCAATCTGATGATGTCTACATGTACCGGTAGTTTCATTTAGATTGTTGAAAGAAGGTATTTGCCATAAAGTTTGAATTTTCTTGCCAGAACTTTTATTAATTTGATTTCTCCTTTCCAAGGTCAACTTTTCTATTATTCAACATATTATATTTTATTTTCAAGTTAAGCATTTCAGTCTCCTGTACTTTATGTATTGTTGGTTTTTGGGGGGAGGGTATTTGTTAGCAGAAACATAGATGGCTTGTTGTTTTTTCAGTGAATTATATTTACTCCGATTCCTTACCTGTGATCTGCTTTCAGGCTTAACTTTACTGGGAATCTATACTTTCAGTTATAAGCGTCATTGAGATCTGAAAGCCTCTTCAGTAGTAGAAGGCAGAATTGCAGATAAAGTTTTACTAATGTCATTACTCCCTAAATTGTCTGCAAAAATAATATGGATGCCCTAAATTACTTCCTTCAGGACATCATTATTGAAAAAGCCCTTTCATTATGTGAGAGAAATTTAATAACGGTCTCTAGTTGAGATCTTAGTGTTCTAATAAGAAAATGAGAAGGAACACTTCTTCAGATTACATGACTGAAAGCTATTTAGGTTTTATAGAGTAATACTACTTCAAATTAGACCTTGAAAAATGTCCTGACCACACACATACCACAGTATATTTGCCTTTAAATCATAGTTTATTAATAACCAATTAATTATCAGTATTAAAAGTATCCACAGGATCTGTCACTTTCATCAAAATGACAAAAGCAGATCTAATGACGTGTGGATGACCTTGGGGAATCAGGGGAAGTGATGCTGCCTAGGAAACAACCAGGAAAGAGAGGGACTGGCTCAGGGGTGGGATTCAGATTTTTTAACAACTGGTTCTGTAGGCATGGCTAGGTGGGTGTGGCCACATGACTGGTGGGTGTGGCTTTTTTGCAGGACCCCCATTTTTTTGGCCTCCTGGGCCTCAGGGAAGCCTCCTGGTGGGCATTTTTGCTCCCTGGAAGCTTCCCTGAGTCCCAGGAAGGCAAATAACGGAGTGCAGGGGGGGCATGCAGCAACCCTCTGCGCTTCATTTTTGGGCCTCAGGGAAGCCTCCTGTGGGGCGTTTTTGCTCCCTGGAAGCTTTCCTCGGGCCCAGGAAGGCAAAAAAACAGAGCATGGGGGGTGCAGCACTCCTCCCCCGCATGCCCCTTTTTGCTTCCTGGGCCTCAGGGAAGCCTCCTGGGCAAGGCAGTAAGACAGCAAGGGAGACCCCGGCCCAGCTGATCGTAGGGAAGGGAAAAAAAGAAATACCTTAAGGAGTGACTGGGTGGGGGAGATGATTTCAGGCATGCACATGATGTCGTACATGCACGATAAGGAATGACTGGGCGGGGAGAGGAGGGATGGGTGGAGAGGGGTGGGGCTACCCAGAGGCATGATTTGCTGGTTCTCCAAACTGTGCAGAATCATAACAACCGGCTCTATAGAACTGGCCCGAACTGGTAGAATCCCACCCCTGGTCAGAGGAAGAAACTTAGGAAGGAA